CAGCTTTGGCAGCTTTCTGTGGCAGCCTGCCAGAGGCTCTGCTATGGACAGACTCGGCACTGAGGGCTAAAAATTGTCCACCGATGTGAAGAGGGATAAGAGGAGGTGGAGCACAAAGCCAGAGTCAGGAGGGGGCTGAAGCAATTTGTGTCCTGGTAGGTCAACACGCAGTATCACCTGAGGAGTCATCAACAACTGTAAAGTGTCAAGTAACTCTGTGCGCCCTACAGTGTGATGGAGAAGAGACGTTGCCAGTATTAGTGCTACACAGTGTTAACACAGAGCACTTGTGACACATCTCCTCTTCCTGAAACTGAAATCTTGTTTCATTTTGCCCACAGCCGCATTGATTTTATTTTTAGTTTTATAAACCTGCCTATTGATAGACAGGTTTATAAAAAGTCAACATTTTATTAAAGAATAGTTGGACATTTTTGGGGAAATATAAATTTTGGCTTTCTTGTCAGAAGTTATTTGAAAAAACTAACTGAATTCTCAGACTTGTGTGAAGCTACAGCCAGCAGCTTGTTAACTTGGCATAGCAAAAACACTCGAATAAGAGAAAAACTGTTCGACTGGCTCTGTTCAAAGATTCTAAACCTGCCTCCCAGCATCTCTCAAACTCTCTAATTAACATGTTACATCTTATTTTGTTAATCTTTTTTCTCTCTGGTTGTTAAACAAACAAAATTTATTTTTTAACTAATGAGGCTCAGCGGGGACAGAACCAAACAGTGTTCCCTGCTTTTCTCTGCTAAGCTAAGGTAATCCAGCGCTGGCTCTGACTTCATGTTGACCATACAGGTGGTATCAATCTTCTCACCTAATTCTTGGCAACAAAATGAACACGGGTATTTCTCAAAACGTCAAACTGTTCCTTTAAACAACCCAGCAGTAACCCCTTAATTTCATAGTCAGCTCAAGCTGGCTCATTGCTGTCTTCCTTTTATAGTGAGGTACGCAAGCGCCTCACGGTTCTCTATACTCCCTCATCCTTGCTCAGGGCAAATAGATAGAAGGCAAGATAGGACTGCGAGAAACTGAGCAAGGACACAGGGGAGAATCAAAGAGAAGCGGAGAAGCTGATGTGTTGTGGCTTTTGGTTTAAGGCTGGAAAGTCACCCAGACTAGAAATCTAACAGGTCTTAATTTCCCAACCCAAGTACCATTGCCTGCATCTCTAACTTTTACAGTGCTTGAATTTTAAGGACAAATACCATGGATTGTAAGTTCTAACAAAACTGATATTGGAATTAGGTATTAGTTAGAGTAGTCTAGCAGTATGTTTACATTAAACATTCTAACTTGGAGACCCTCCGGAAATAAGACATTAAACTACATTGGCACTGGTTTTGGATAGTTGTGTTGAGAATCTAGCCCAGCTGGAGTTCCTTCTGTCTGATCCTCACCCTTAGCTTTAGGATATTCCATATGGGATGCTATGCTCATGCATTTTAGTAAAGCAGAAAATAAGTGGCTACCAAAGATCCCCTGAGTGATAGCAGAAATGTGGAAGTTAAGTTTGGACTACCACTCAGATCAAATTTCATAATGTATTCCAGGATAAAAAGAGGTATGTTTGAAGCGACATTCTTGCTATCTCTGCTTGTCACCCTTAAGTACCAGAATCTCTATGTTGTCTCACTCTGCACCTGTCTTTTTGTCAGTTGTTGGAAAAAATCATAAAAAGAACTGCGGAAAATCTGTTCCGATAATCATGGAGTCACGCAGAGGTCGACTCTATTGATGGGCAGCCTGTCTAGCTTCTGGTAAAACCTCACTGCTCTGTATGATTATCACAGACAGATATAGTACCTGCTGAGATACTCTCGTATTACTGACAGATTTCTGTTTCAGATTCCAGCACAGGGTTACAGCCAAATCTCTGACCTGGAGTCAGCTCATATGGACACCACTTTCCATTCATACTGTATTACACCTAGGACATTCATAATCATCTATTATCAGGATATCGTCTTGTATAAGTCAAAGTCTTGTCATCTATGTGTCCCCTTTGCTTCCATTTCTCAGATGGCTAGATTATCTAAAGTGAAACTTAATAAGTGAATTGACAGATTTTACCCAGTAGGAGTAATTAGTGATTAAATTTGTCAGTGCTTTTGTCAGGGGTGTTTCACTGATAGCATGCAGGTGGAGGGAGAACAGTAATAGTTAAGAATTTAAAGGAGAAAGCAAAGCCAATCACTCTGAATCCAAGGGTAAGATTAAACAGAGACCATCTCAGTTTTGCCCAATATGGTATGGAATGCTGAGACACCTCAGCCATGTGATGTGAAGAATCAAAATGACTTAAAGAGAGTGGGGGGCTGGCTATCCAGACTATCTTTCTGTGAGATATTATCCAGCACTTCTAGTTACGGTACTCTGTGAACACATGCTCGACATTTGTGATTGCAGTAGTTCTTAAAATATTGCATCAGAGATCAGAGCGCAGCTGCCTTTGAAGCACACTCAGCTTTCAGGTCAGGGAGAAACAGAATATGAACATGAAACAACGGCGCCAACAGATATTGACTTGCACACAATATTTAAATTAGAGTGGTGATGCATTTAATACATTGTCATGAATGCCAAAAAAGAGAACCACTTTGATTTTGTGAAGCATGAGAACTGATTATCACATTTTTAAGTTTAAAATCATTCCAAAGAAATTTCAATGTATCACACAGGAAAGCTTTGTAAATACTGGCCTCCTCTGGAACAAGCTATGGATGAAAAATAGATAGATTATCCTTTGACTCCATCTAGTGGTAGATGGTTAAAATGTTTTGTGAAACCACCATTCGCCTCTTGGTGTGTGTGTGTGTGTGTGTGTGTGTGTGTGTGTGTGTGTGTGTGTGTGTGTGTGTGTGTGTGTGTGTGTGTGTGTGTGTGTTATTACAATTAAAGTGGCTAGATGTTTTCCACCTACCTTTGCAATGTAGTCTGAGCCTTCAGTGTCAAAGCAGGGCCGTCTTTGTTGAGTCAGCTGTGCTGAATCTGCAATGTTCTGATTTTCATCTCTCCACCATCTCTCGCCAACTGGACATATAAAGGAAGTGTGTGTTTTTATTATTATACTAGATCAATACTAATAATGGAAAATAAAGACGTGCTGTATGATTAACAAACTGAAGGCTAATGTTCAGATTCAGGTCTTCGTGAGTCTGAACTCTCAGAGCTCTCAGAGCTCAAAAACTTCTTAAACATTATCAACTCAAAACCAAAAAAAGTGATTTTATTCCTTTGATAGTGTTTTAAAACACAATTCATGTGCTCTGTGTCT